AAAAAAGAGGATTTTACATGACCAAAAATACTTTTTAAAAGTCAAGCTAGGCATGGTGGCGCACACCTGTAATCCCAGAGGCTGGGGAGGCTAAGAGGAGGATCATGAGTTCAAAGCCAGTCTCAGCAAAAAGTGAGGCACTAAGCAACTCACTGAGACTGTGTCTCTAAATAAAATTCAAAATAGGGCTGGGGAGGTGGCTCAGTGGTCAACTGCCCCTGAGTTCAATCCCCACTACCAAAAAAAAAAAAAAAAAAAGTCAAAAGAATTGAAAAACCAGACTGGGGCTGGGGCTCAGTGGTAGAGTGCTTGCCTAGCACGTGCGAGGCCCTGGGTTCGATCCTCAACACTACATATGAATAAATAAAGATATTTAAAAAAAAATAAGAATTGAAAAACCATAAGAAAATATTTGCCTTACGCATCGTAGTTAAAGGGCTAACATCCCTTATAAATAACTCTTGAAAACTCAAGGAGAGGCTGGGGTTGTGCTCAGTGGTAGAGCATTTGCCTAGCATGTATGAGGCAATGAGTTCGATTCCTGGCACCACCTAAAAAAATTAAAAATAAAAAAATAAAATAAAATAAGGGTACTGTGTCCATCTGTAACTAAAAAAATAAGGAAATTAAAAAATTTTTTAAAACTCAAGAAAAAAAGACCAAAAACCCAAAAGACATTAGCAGAAAATTCACACAAACACATACTTACACAATACACAGTCCTTAAATGTAAAGATATTCTAATTCAGTTATGATGAAAATAAAATTGAAAATTAAAACTACTCTAAAATATAGGGGCTGGGGATGTGGATCAAGCGGTGGCGCGCTCGCCTGGCATGCGTGCGGCCCGGGTTCGATCCTCAGCACCACATACAAACAGAGATGTTGTGTCCGCCGAGAACTAAAAAATAAATATTGGAAATTCTCTCTCTCTCTCTCTCCTCTCTCACTCTCTCTTTTAAAAAAATAAATAAATAAATAAATAAATAAATAAATAAATAAAATACCACTTCTCATTTATCAGATTAGCAAACATTTAAAACTATCACAGCATATACTATTGGTGACACTGTGGGAAAACAAGACTTTCACATTACTGACAGGAAATCAACAATTTCTAACAAAAGTACAAACATACTTACCTCTGATCCATAAATCTGATTTTGGGGACTTTCCCATGGAGGATTACACCCAGCAATTAAAAATATTCATGTGCTAGTTAATTCAAAAAAGCTCTTTGGCAACTGCAAAATAATGGCTGTATTTTAACTGTATCTACCTAGGCAGTGGCTAAACAAACTTCAACACAAACACATGATAGGGTACTAGCAACTATAAAAGTAAGATCTACATTCTGATGTGGATTTCCAATACACATCTGCAAAAAAAAAAAAAAAAGCAAAGTGCAAAGAACAGTCATATTTGCCACATATGACGCTGCTCGTTCATCTAAAACAAAACATGGGAGAATAAGACACGAATACTAGTTATACAGAGGAGAAGGTAGAAACAAAACACATGGAAAATGGTAGAGTGATACTTCTCTGGGTGCACCTTCTAATATAGTGGTATTTTCTGAAACCATGTTAATGTTTCAAATACTAAAATAATGAAACAAAAATCAAAAAGTTTAGCAGCATAAAAAATTAAATATAAACAGAAAATATAAACAGAAACAATGAACTTAACTCTTTCTAAATGAAGAAACTAACCACATTGAAAAAACAGGTGAGGACCAGGTACAGAATTGTATAGCCTTAGGGTACAGATTTAAAAAGCTATAAAAACTATTTAAAGGTCAGGGGGTGCAGTTCAGTGGTAGAATGGTTGCTGGTTCCTGGGCTCCAACCCTGGCATGGGGAGGGGGTGACGGGGGGGGGGGGTGACGGGGGGGCAGGGGGGAGTCTAATTTGTAAGTTTGTTTTTCATAGTGATATAAATTAGCAATTCTAAAACTGTTGTCTATATTCTATAATTATGCAAGTAAATATACTGTGGAGTAGGGAAGGCTTCTCATTATTGGAGAAAGAAGTTACAGGTCACAATTTGAATACTTCAAGAACATAAAAAGTTATCTTAAAAAGCACAATTGTCCAATAACTCCATAACTCACCCACAGAAACTTCAAACTTTTAACTTCCCAATTCCTGCCATTCCCTAGGCATACTTCATCTTTAAATTATTTTGTATACACTTAACACCGAAGTTTTCTGGAAGTATTTGACTTGTTCATCTGAAATCACTGTCTGCTATTAAAAGCAGAGATCGATAACACACCTTCAGATTTAAAATCATATATTATGCTTTCTTTAAAAAAATCACTACTTTCATTTTCTATATCTAAATTAAAGCATTGATTAAACTGTTCAAGGAATGAGTTGTTTAACTTTCTTGTTAAACTAAGGTTAACCCAGAAACTCACTTAGTTTAAGCACTTTGAAAAATAAATTTTTGGGCTGGGGACATAGCTCAGTTAGTAGAGTGCTTGCCTTGCATGCACAAGGTCCTGGGTTCAATCCCCAGCACCACAAAACAAACAAACAAATATCTAAATAATTTTCCAAAAATAATGTAATAGGGCATGAATAATGTAATTTCTCAAAATATAAGACTCTTCAGTGTGTCTAGATTATTTAGTTATTATAGTTAAATATGAACCACAATATCAATGCAGGAAGGTGGGAACCAGTGATTTTGAATCAACTTTCTTCATACATAGAATGAAGACAGCCCAACAGTTACAAACTCAATAGCAGGTGTGCAGGATTATCTACTATGGGCTCAACTTCACCACCTATCCCCTCAATGTCTTCCTTACACTGTCAAGGAAAAGAAAGTGACTATACTTCCCAATCCCCAGAGGTATTGCAGGTAGGTGCCTGGGCAGGGAAGCTTCCAGGTGAGCCCACTGTGCCACAAAGAGAGAGAGCTAAGATTTCCACTGACTACTGAAAAAACAACCAATATACAGCTTCAGGCTGAAATAGCAATGAGGTCAGCCCCTGCACTCCCAGAGGTCATGAGCCTCTCCCTGTGGGAAAACCCTCACCCTCACACTGGGAATTAAGAAGCTTTTTGGATTCTACTGATGCACCATACCTGAAAGTACTCTATACATTAAAAAAAAATAATAATAAACATAAAAAGAACAATGTTATTTCTGTTCCCACTTATAGGAAATTTTGACTGAAACTGCTTTCTGGTAATCAGTCTCTCATTTAGACAAATAAGTGCCTCCAGAATAAATCCTTGCTTCTACATATCAATAAAATATCAATAAAATAAAACTTTCCTAATGGGAAAAAAAAAAACAGTTCCCTACCTAACTTTAAAATCCTCAATTAATTGTTCAGTCAATGCATTTTTACTGAGCAAGGGATTAACCAAGAGAATCTCCTACAAAAGAGTCCCCTAGAAGAGAGAGTCCTCTACAAGAGTTTCTAAAATGAGCATAACAAAAACATAATACTCATTGTTTCAAATCAAAAAATATATGTGAAACATATGTGAAAAGGGTGAGTTAAATTTGACTTGGGGAAAAAAAGTAAAAATCAAAAAAAGAATTCAAAGAAAAGAGAAGTAAAGGTTAAATAGAATTAACATTATAGATTAAAAAGAATTCTCAAAGAAAAGATGATGGCATTTTTTTTTGGGGGGGGGAAGCATGCTCAAATCAACAAAGCTTGCAACTCTGGAGAACAAAGCTACATAAAACAAAGTGGTTTATACATAGAATGTTTAGAAAAAATGGGGAGATTAAGGCCAAATAATAAAAGGTCAGGAAAGTTAAATATCTGGACTTTATTGCTATTATCCAACTTCAGATTCATAGAATTATAATATTTTATGCCTAGATAAAAAAAATTGGGCTGCTAATATACATTCAGATTAGAGCCTAACAGTACATAGCACTAAGCGAAGAAAAGGAAACCATCTTTTTTTTTTTTTTTTTTTTTTTTTAACAGTATTGGAGATTGAGCCCAGGGCGGCATACTAAGCAAGCACTCTATCACTGAACTACCTCCCCAGTCCTAGATACTAATCCTTTTAAAATACTGCTTTATCCTTTTTTTATCCCAACATTCTCCTGTTCAAAAGTCTTCAATGACTTCTAAACACCTACTTTGACCAAGGCACTCAATACCACAGTTCCTACCCAATTATGGAGTATTTTCTACCACTGATGGCAATGTACAAACTCTTCAAGTACTTTGTTCTCTGTTTCACCACTGAGTGAGCAAGGCTACCAAATGCAGGAGGAGAGATACCTCATGCATTAGTCTGTCCAGGTTGCAGTAACAAAATGCCATAGATTGGGTATCTTAAACAAAAGAAATTTATTTTCTTAGTTTTACAGGACAGAATTCCAAGATCCAGATGCCAGGGTTCTCTTCTGTCTTGTGAACAGCAGCCTTTTCTCCATATCCTTACATAGCCTCCTCTGAGGACATAGAGAATAATCTCTCTCTTCCTCTTCTTACAAGGCCACCAGCCCTATCAGATTAAGGTCCCAACATTACAACCTCAAATAACTTGACCTTCACAAAAGCTATATCTCCAAATACAGTCACAATAGAAGGTGGAATGTCAATAAATGATTTCTGGAGGACACAAATATTCCGGCCATAAAATATCATATCATTTCTGAGGTTAGACCTAACTAGATTCTATGGATTCAGCTATTACACTCTTGAATGCACCCACTATAACAGGAAAAAGCCCAAATAGCCTATTAGAGAATGAGAAGCTACATGCATCCGGATCAAGAGCCAGAACCAAATACCAGGTATACAGTAGAGTTACACCAGACCACCCAGTTCCAATCAAGCCATCAGATGCTGTCCTTGTCATCAGATAATGACAACTGCATGATCGGCTCCAGGTGAGACAAGCAGAAGAACTGCCAGCTGAGGTCAGTCAAAATTGTAAAAATAATGAAAATAAATGAGAGTTGCTTAAAGTCATTGATTTGGGAACAGCAATAAACCAATAAAATATACCTTCTTGTTCTGCTTTTTGATCTAGATCTCTGGATTCTGTAAGACTTCCCTCGACCCCTTGAACGACTTCTACTTCGTTTTCTTCTAGAGCCATAAGAAGAGCTACTGCTTGACCGATGTCTGCGTCTGAAATAAAGTCAAATATCATCCCTATAAAAAGTATTTGTTATAGGAATTAGAGAGAAATCTAGATTCTAAAGGGTCATCTCATCTTTACTGTCTCCCTCTGTCCCTAAAGCAAATAAATTAAAAGGTATTTCTCTTGTACAGTCAGATGACTGGTTCAAAATGGAAGAATCTGATAAGCTACTAACTAAGGCATTATGAGTTGTAAGTAGCAAACTACCTTTCCAAATATCAGATAACAAGGTACATGGACTATATCTACTTGCCCATAAAGAATTTAGGAAGAGGGCTGGGTCGTGGCTCAGTGGTACAGTGCTCGCCTAGCATGTAAGGCACTGGGTTCAATACTTAGCACCACATAAATGTAAAATAAAGACATTGTGTCCACCTAAAACTAAAAAATAAATATTTTTTTTAAAAAAAGAATATAGGAATTATAGTAAAGCCAGAGACACTATTAGAGCTGATTTTAAAAAACCTTTTGATTGATTGTATGTCCTCCTCTGAGAAGTGTCTGTTCAGGTCCTTGGCCCATTTATTGATTGGGTTATTTGTTATCTTATTGTCTAATTTTTTGAGTTCTTT